GGTGTCACTCTCGCCGTTATATAATTTTCCATAAATGATATATGCACACCCGGGTAATTATGGAAGGTGGTCTGAGGTAGAAAAAGTTTCGAAAAGTTTAGATTAGCCAGTTATCTGTGGAAAAAAAAATAATACCATTTTCAAGTGATAATCGAAGGTTACAAACGCGTTGCGAAGCTATTTCGCTTGTTTAAATACCGGATAATTCTCGAAAGAAAAAAAAATATATATATACGACATAGGTTACATATCGTATGCAAGAGACGCAGGATTAAAGCTCTCGGAGCTTGCGAGATGCAGACACGCGCGTGCTTTGAGCATCGCATCATCGATCGTCTCCTTAAATGAAAGAAGTCCGGTTTGATTGCATCTGCGAGTGCATCGGGCGAGGAGGTTGGTCAAAGAGCGTAGCTACATGGATATACATATATATATATGTGTGTATATATATATATATATATTCGAACCCCAAATAAGCCTATTCTTCGGCTAAACTCCACCCGTTCTTCTTCCACACGGGTAAAAAAGCCTTCTTTTTACTTGCAAATTTTCTCTCTGTTCGGTCCAGTACAAAACACGATGGGTATATTATTCATTCTTGGAATTTTTTTCTCTTTTTTTTTTCTCTTTTCGAGCAATGTAGGACGCGACACGTGAGAGAGAGAGCCAGCCCCCGCCTTGCTACGCCACTGGATTTAGAACCTTAGAACGCATAGAATTCGTACGGAATAATGGAAATGGCCGTGATGAAATCAGCAGTCCGGGCTAAAGCACCAGAACTCTACAGACGGGTTGTAAAAGGACTTTCCAGGTTTGTACTCTGAAATAATTTTTCGGCCGTTTGATTCCGTTGTGTGTAGGCTGGTAAGCAAGAGCCCCCTGGCCGTATTCTCGGCGCGTTACGCCAATGCGCGGAGGCCTTGTATACAGGACCCAGATGGAACAGTGAAAAGGATAAGCATAAGGGTCTTGGGTTTAGCTCAGTCGCTGAGCTCGCAGTCGGTCTGCGATTCGTATAACGTTCCAGGTAACCCAAGTGTCGATTCTTTTTCATTCCGTAGATTCGTACGGTCGAACGTGTCCCGGGACTTGTCAAAATCAGTCGGCATTGAAGAAAAGGAGGACAGATGGTTGTTCCTAGTGTCAAAAGAAGAGCGTAGGTATATCGCAGCAAGTATATACGAAATCTCATTCACTTCCGTTCTTCTTCCTTTCGCGTTTCAATCGATATTTAGGGAACCGACACAACACACAATGCACGATCATTTTCCTCCCCCCTCCCCTCCCCTCTCGACTATTTTTCCGGCAACAATAATGTAATTCTGTGAAGTGATGAACAAATAAAGAAAACGAAGTATGAAAATGGTTGTTTTATTTCTCGCTGCTTTCAAAGAGTTGCTAAAAAAAATTTCGCCGTAACGCGCTTTTCGGGAAAGTTTATAGCTTTCTTTCTAATAGCTTTTAACCTTGGTTATTGACATTAGCATTGACCTTGCGCGTAGAGGTTGCGCTTTCGAGTCGGATCGAAATAATTTTTTCTATACGTCGAGAATGATTTTTTAAGTTGTTCGACTTTCGCTTTCGTATATTAACACGGTGAGAATCGTATGGAAATATGAACGAATGCATGACAAAAGCATATTCGTGGGAAAATGCATATGATAAAAGAGCATTTCGTAGAGAAAAAAGCGTAGACACGCGGTTTAACAGGTGATTAAAAGATTATAAATTAAGGTTTCGAATGTTCAGCTACCTAGATCGTAAAGGTGCAATAAGGGTTAATTACCTATTGACACATTAGAACTTTTAGGCTTATGTCAATAAGTTCCCCATCCACCCTAATGTCTCGCAGGATTTCGCAGGATAAAGGCTAGTTCATCGACCACCTTGGGTTTATATAACCATTTTATTACTAGCGCCAGCATTAAGATACTTCCTAGAAACCCAACAATTTTATTAGATGGCATCTGTATCCAAGTATAGCATTCTTTGTAAACGTGCCTTTAAGTATTTATCGACGACTACTCAGAAATTAGAATAATTTATTCTTTATTATAATTTAAATCAAATGTGAGAATATTTTTAACTTTTTAAAAATCATATCTCAATACTCAGATAATGTGTTTGATGATAAAAAAGTGCAATATCAGCGAATGAAGCGACATCTATGTGTTGTGTAACGTGCTGTCTGCTCTTTGTACTGAAAAGGCGTGAATAAAATGCCGCAGTGTTTGTACGAAACTTCTGCAAAAGTGCTGTATTAAATTCGTGAATATTCAATGTGAGTCGCGAGTTAGTGTTGTGTGTACTATGTATTACTTAGACGTTTCTCTGTTAGTACATTCAATCAGTTTTTACACTTTTGTTCGTGCACATGTACCTTAACCTATATTGCGGGAACGATCTTAAATTAAATTAAGGAAAATAGGTTTTAAAAAATATATACACTTCGAAGACACTGTTATTTATAACATTCTTGAATTATGCTTTCTTTTTCATTCACAATTTACCTTTGACATTTTTACGATTCTGTTAATATCGTCATTTCCATGCAATGTGATGAAATAGTTCTTCGTTTACGAATCTTGAAAAGTACACTTTGCTCAAACTACTTATCATTTGTTTTCTTATGTTTTCGTATACGATTGTAGTTGCTATGTGTAAGCTTAAAAATAATTCAATCATAATAAGAGCATATTTCTTGTTTGTAGAACACTGCCACAACATAACCCTGACTTTATAATATCTGCAGTCTATCTAAAGAAGAATATTCTGCAATCTGTAAGACATTTATTTGGCGAGGAAGGAACAAAGTACACCATTGACATCTTGAAGTATAATCCAGAGGAACGTAGATTTATTCTGCGTTGTACAGATGATTGTTATGTACGCTTAAGGGCAGCCCTAACTGTTGCTGGAAAATACGAAGGGGAACCTTGCAGTTATCTTGTGCACCGTGCTACAGCAAATTTACTATCTTTTAGTGCAGATAGTAGGAATTATCAACATTAAAATATAGAGAGTGAAGACAATTTACATTTAGAAAAAAATTAATTTAATATATTTTTGTATGCTTGTATCAATTGCTCAACTATGCCATTGATTCGTAAAGAAGGTAAAGATACTATAATATTTGCTTCGAAGGAAGATCATGCTACACCTAGCAAAGTAGAGCTTCCAGAACTAGAGCCAAGTCCTGGTCTCTTGTTATCAAATGGGGAGATCAATTGGAATTGTCCTTGTTTGGGAGGAATGGCTACTGGACCATGTGGGTTAGAATTCCGCGAGGCCTTCTCTTGTTACCATTACTCTATTGCAGACCCAAAAGGTTCAGACTGTTATGACGCGTTTAAAACAATGCAAACATGCATGATACAATATCCAGCGTTATACGGAAAGAAAGACTCTTTGGACGATCTCGAGGATGAAGCAGACTTAATGGATGGGCATAAAAAAAATTTAGAAGCTGATAATAATGTTTCTCAATTGGAATCAAAAGTGAAAGAAGTGCCAGATACTCCTAGCATTGAAAAAGGAATAGAAAGAACTAATGTTAAATGAATGATTGTTCTCTTGCCAGTGAATAAATAAATATGCGTTTGCATTGCAAAGCTAGATCAAATTTTTACTAGGACTTAATGAAACAGGATCTCTGTAGTCCTCACAAGGAATAGGTTATGCAGCAAAGTATTTTTGAACAAAATAAAGTACTCCTAAATATTTTTTTTCAGTTATCCGTTTTTTAACCTGCTTTGTAAAGCCGTACGCAATATTTACACATGTTGTTAGCAATAAAAAGGAAACGCTGCATTTTCTTGCAATTCTTGTTGCACTTTATAAAAATTTCAACCTCGATACAATGATTATTTACTTTTTCGTTGAAAAAATTAAAAAATTGGCATTAATATGTACGAACGATATGTTTTATTTCTGTTTTTGTTCTTTGAGTTTATTGTACATATCTTGTTCATTATAATCAATAAATGGTTATATTAATAAACAAACAATCCCCTTCTGTATATGTAATGACGCACAACTTGTGAAGCAAAAAAAAAGATAATTTTTTTCTTCTGGTGATATCGGGTTTTCAAATGTCCTACTTGTTGGTGGCACGACAACAAGCTGGTTGACGTCACGGCCGTTTGATGGCGGTATCTACAAGAAAGAACGACGGGACGAAAGCGGCGTGACGTCAGCTGTATGACTCCCCTCTCTCGTTCCAACCCTTTGGACAGACGGATACACGGCGCGGTCGTTTACCACCACCATCGTCATCATTGCCATGAGTTTGGCGTTCGTCGAGCGTTTCGTACGGATGGAACAACGATGTGTTTTCATTTCATAACGTTAATGGAAGTGACCGAGCAAAGGTGACGTTGCGTACCCACCGAGAACGCATGTTAGTGCATCGATTTCGATAACGCGAGGAATACGGGAGTCGGGCCCAAGCAAAGTACGGGTGAGAGACAATTGTAACGAAAATTTCGTGACGAGTTGAGTTAAGACGAAGAAGCTGGATACGTTCCTTGGCAGTGACCGAGAAGTGTCCCAGAGTGTCGTATCATCTGAAAAAACTTTTCCCCCATATTCCGGTTTGCCATGATGGATCAGCCAAGAAAAGAGAAAAAGCACAAGGAGAAAAGAAGGTGAGTGAGTGAAACGACACGAGAATGAATGGAAACTAATTGCACCCGTATGGACATTGCGTTGCTTGTTCTCTCGAGTTTTTGTTATTCTCATGTAGCAGGTCTATGTGTGTCGTTTAGTGTGCCATTCTACTTTGTTTCGCCTTACGATCATTCGTAGACACTGTTTAGATATCGGAATTGACTAGGACATACGATCAAAGGAACAAATTCTGTGTACCGTGCGCGCGCGCACGCACATATCGCGTTTTGTATGCGTAGTGAGTGAGTGAGTGAGTGAGTGCGTGTTTGACGCAATCGTGTTTCCTTCGAATCGGTAATCTTTCTCTTTCTCTCTTACACTCTGTTTTATTGCCTCTTCCCCGGCTAATGTTTTCTTCTCCCCCCGCCATTCGTTACAAGATTACTTATGCCTCTTCCCTCTAATAATACGATCTCTTTCTATTTGCTCTCCAGGCGCAATCGCGTATGCACTCGCGAGAGCAATGCAACTAAGGAAACGAACTTTCTTCGTGTTAGAAAATCCAATTAGATAATTTGTCGGTATTAATAGGAAACTGGCTGTTTAGACCCGTTGCGTTATATCGGTAAATTTTACGACGCCTCGAAACCAGCGGGTATTATCCTGAACGTGGGGATTCGACGATTTCTCTTTTCTTCCTTTTAAACAGGGCGCCATTTGAATGTTGATACAAGTGATACGAGTCGTGCGTCGAGCTGCATTTGACACAGATGTCCTTGCGATATCGACTCCCTTTGGGATAATTCCATTCTAAGGCCAAAGAGCGAGCACTGCCGCTTCGTGTGCTGCAATTATTCCTCCATAAAAAAACCAAGTCGCGTTTCACATAAATGTTTTTTTGCGCGCGTATACACGTATCCCGTGTCCATTCTAACGCGAGTTTCGTGAATACTCGCTAGAACGGCGCTACTGGTACTGAGAGTTGCGATAAAATAATGAAATAAAAGGAACGATATGCGCCATAACCTAAAAATTTTTCGTAACTGTTATGGAAACTCGGCATGCATCTATGCCATTGTGCTGTGACCGCTATTCGTTGTTTTTCGAACGCGCCAATCTCGTATTTGGAAATTGTACACGTGCACGATAGATAAGTTTTCCGTCGATTACAAAAGCAGCCGCGTCGTTTTCTCGGAATCGTTGAAATTCAGATAAATCCAAGACGTGGAATCGAAGGAACCAAGAGATGAAGCACAGGCGGTACACACATATATCTACATATCTAATACATGCCTTGTACTATTTTTCACAGCCTATTCCACCCTACGTAGAACGAGTATATTAATTTTAATTAACAAACCGTACCAATTGCTTCTCGTCCGTAGCCCATCGTCGCGCACAGAAGAACAGTTATCGTATCTCGATTGTTGTGCGATGATCAAAGTGGGATACACAGTATACACGTATAATCTATATATAGACTTTTAACGTGTTATTACGTGAATCCATAGTGACCATTCGTTTCTTTCGTATGGGTCCACGCTTGGAAGGGAGAGGGAAAGAAAGAAAGAGAGAGAACTCTCTCGCCTTCGGGCTAAACGTATAGACATTTTCCTTGCACGGTATCAGACACACGCACACATAGAAAAACGAGCGTCCACGCTGTATCGGAATGGCGAGCGACACGCGACCTTCTGGCAACTTTCTTTTTCAAATTATTCCCGTGTACAGGCCATTAACAAGTTGTTTATACATCTCCGAGTACCTACTATCATATCCGTCCTATTTTTAGCAAGTCAGTTAGAGCTAGACGCTTGGTGTGATTTGAAGAAATTACCTTTTTAGGTTCATTTCCGTTTAGTCACACGTCATAAAGGAATTGCTCGCATCAGGATAATTAAGAGCAATGCAAAACATCCGTGTATGTCAGGCAGATAAGATAGGCTGGACATTGGCTCATTTTCGATCGACCATTAATCGACGATCAAGTTTAACGATTTACTGATTCGAGGTTCAGCCTCTGTCGAGTAGATGACGTACTTATATCGTTCGGCCATTATTATTTTCTTTTTCCTACCGCGTTGCTTTAAACTTCCCCTTGGGAATTTCCACTTTAATTCACCGTTCGAATATTACACATCTCTATTCTTTGTCTCGAAGGGTCCGTTTTTCCACAGTTTCTGTAACCATTCACAATTGACAACGATTTAAGTCATACGAACAGTCTACTGTAGGTAGAACGATACCTACTCAGCTGTATGGCGAGTCAGGTTCTATTTCCGCGTTTATCTGCGCGATAGTTTACTCGATCAAGGCCGACGTGCACGCGACTCCTCCTTTTGCCTATAGCAAAGCAGCCGTAGGTGTCCATTAGCAATTTTAACGCGTTAGGAAAATCGCGAAAGCGTGAAGAACGCGTCTATGCACACGCATACAGCGTGTCGTAGTACCCTAATTTCGATCGAACGTTAACGAAGAATCTGTATCTGGTCGAAAAGATCAGAATCACGTGTAGAATTTCGTTTAAACGATACACCTAGTCTATAGTCGACTGAATTATCTCGATTCGGTTGAATGTTTTCGTTATCGAAGAAACCTCGACATTTTTCAGCGTGTTTCGGCGGATTTTCAATGGCGGCGCTCTTCTCGGCGGCGACGCAAGGGGAGTACTATACGTTCAGATTAACTTTGATTCGTCGAAGAGGAGAAAATTGAAAGGAGACTAGCTACACGGTGTATCATCGTTTACCGATAGGTAGTATCGTTATCTTCACGGATAGATAGCCATCGTTTCAAGTTGTAAGTGCAAGACAACAAGCCGTTTTCTGTGATTTGGAACTTTAGTATTGCGCGAACCGTCGTATCGATCTCGTCTATCGAAGTCGCGGCAGATTTCTCGATCGTTTGTTCACAGGGGGATCGAGCCACGAGAATGTCTCGAGAGCTAGCTTATCTGTTTAATCGAACAATTTTCCATCGGCTAGTTCGATGAACGTGCGTACACGCTGCTCTCCTTCTCTCTCGCGCGAAAACAGGAATCTACGATACACGCGTATGTGTTTGATCGAGGTTTGACAATACGGTTGCGGAGATAACGCGTCGTCGATCTTTGAAACGAAGGAGAAAAGGAGGGCTCGAGTTGACTTCTCTCTCCGAGAGTGGAAAGAAACGGCAAGTGGAGGGCCAGCAGAGGGAGAGAGAGAGGAGGTGGAGGCAGTGTGTGGTGGCGGCGTTCTGCGGTAAAAACAGAACACGGCCATAGGAGGAGGGGCCAGAGAGCGAAAGGAAGAAAAAGAAGGTGCACACGATTAACGTTGGTGGGGGAAGTAAAATCGGGCCAAAGTTTTATTCGTCTTCTTCGTCGTGTTGTTTCTCGTCTTGGTAGCAAGTAACGGGAAGAAGAAGAAGAGGATCCATCGCAACCGTTCAGGTGGAAGCGTTTTTTTTTTTTTTTTTTATTAATAAAACGCCGTACAAAGAATTCTGGAGAAGGACGAATTAACAAATCCATCGAATTTGTTCATCCCTTAAAGATCGATTGGAACATTGGACCGTCGTCCTCCGGAGGACCAACTTGGAAGGATCAAACGCGATGACCGCGCCACGTGTGCACCACCCGATCGATACGCTGCACGATAATGAACTCGATCGTTGCTCCGATTGGATCGACAGTCGACCACCGAATTTCTACGAGCAAACGTCCAATTTACCACCCTGTAGATTCTCTCGGCAACAGATCCAACCTGTTCACAACGGCGGATCTTTAAATTGTACCGGTATAGACGGATGTTTCGTCGATCGAGATAAGAACCCTTTCGATCAACCTTTGCCAACGAATATAGATGCTCCATCTTACGACGCTTCTCTTCCTTGCGTGGAATCTTCGATATCTATCGACCAATTGCCAGTCGTTCAATGCGGTCAGTCGAAGGACTGCATGCAAAGTACAGCTGCTTTAGGATCGAGGAATTGTCAAGTGGGTTCCGTGGACGTGGAAGATTTGGCTCTGTACTTAGATCAGGATAAATTACAGTCTAACTGCCAGTCGAAACAGTACAGACCGATTA